AGTTTTTTTGGTGGTTGAACCTAGTAAGATTATATTCGTTCTATAAAATACTATACCCCAAAAGGAGGATAGAATCTTATTCTATATTGGGTACCATAGTATCCCCAAATAAGACACTACTCATATGAGCTGTAGTCTAAAGTCCTAGTATCCCCCTTAATAAGCCCTGTAATACTCCCCTATATAAAGCCCTCTTTAACCATCTCTTAAGGAATTTAGACTACAGCTCATATAGCTCCTACCGAAGTAATGCCTCCGTGACCCTTTGAATTCCTCCGACAAAAACGGCTAAGCGCGCAGCCGAAGAACAATTCCCTGAATGGAGGGTACCAAAGGACAATCATAACATGGAACACTCTTAAGAGCCTAGGGTTCAGAAATTCAAGGCCCTAAAGCCAGCATGCAGAGCCGCCAATTTAGACCAGGCGCTTTTGATAGCCTCACGCTTCTCACGTGCTTCAGCCTTTCCAGAAGGCGTTGAGCAAACAATTTCAAGGCTGCAGGTTGAGGATTTAGGAATGCGGTCTTGGGTGTAGGGAAGGGTTCAGGAAACTGTATGACAGTTAAGGTACACGGGTGCACAAGGCCTGCTTCAGATTATGACAGCTTCTGCACTCTGGCTCTAAGATCTGTCAAAGATCGCCACTTGATAGTCATCATAACTTTCTGTCTTGCTCCAACAAGCGCATGTGCTGTCATCCTGAATGGTGCATTTCCCGTGGTCATATCGATCATACTTCTCATTCCCGTTCTAAAAGGAAAGCGGCCTTTCCGAGATCCTTCGTAGCTTTGAGGCTTAGGGTTTATGGTCCAGGGCTTCGGGCTTAAGCTTTGTGATTTAAGATTTCCCTTAGGAGGACCCCCCCACCCTGTAATAGTGGTATAATAGGAATATAAGAGAACCCTAATATAATCTTTACTATTCCTTATAGTCACTATTACTGGGTGGGGGGTCCACCTAAGATTTCCCGATGTGCTAAACCGTGGGTTTTGTCATGTCCGTGCCTCCTTTGCTGCCTTGAATTCCAGCTTCCTCTGCTTTTCCGCTTCGGCCTGGGTTTAGGGTTTAGGGGTTTAGGGTTTAGGGCGTAGAGCTTAAGGGCAGGACTGATTTGGATTTGGGGTCTCAACATTGGAGGTTCACAACTAGTTGAACATTGGGTTGTTAGCATCGCAGCACTTCAACATAGATTCTTGCAAGTGAAGGTGCAAGTTCAAGTCTTATGGTTGAACAGGTCTTTGTGGATGCATTCTACCGTTTAAGAAGACCATCTCGGCAAGGAACTCTGTCACAGACTTTAGGCCCACGAAAGGCAACTTCTGATTCCGACACTGGACAAGATAAAATTCAAGGTCCTAGTGTCAGAAAATTCAGGGGTTGGGGAACCAAACTCCCAGCATTACCCCAAGCCCTGAACCCTAAACCCTAAACCCTAACCCTAGACCCTAAGCCCTAAACCCTAAAACCTAAACCCTGAACCTGGAGCCCTTACGGCTCAGGGTGCGGATGGAATCCTGCATTGGGTGAGTGAATGTTCTTGGCGCAGAGATATTTAAGGTTTAGGGTTTGGGGCTTAGGGTTTAGGGCTTAGGGCTTAGGGTTTAGGTTTAGGGTTTGAGTTTTAGGGTTTAGGGCTTCGGGCTTAGGGTTCAGAGCTCAACGTCTGGGACCTAGAGATTTAGGGTTTCAAGACTGGGTACATGTAGGAACCCGAAGAGCGTGTAGGGATCGTTCTCAAGTTATGCAGGATTGTTTTAAACCTATTTGGAGAAACTCCACATTGAGGAACCCAAAAAATATGGATAACCCTAAACCCTAAGCTGTTAAACCTTTAAGCCCAAACCCACGGGATCCTGCCTCTTTCGGAAGTATGTGAGAGCAGCTCCGTGTTCGAGAAATGTCCACACATGCTTGGGAGGGTTTAGGGTTTAAGGGTTTTGGGTTTAGGGTTTAAGGTTTACGGTTTAAGGTTGAGGTTTTAGGGCCCCTTGTGACAGCAGATAGAGGCAGAGAAGAAAGTGCTCTACAGATTAGCGCCCGCCAAAATTACCAGCCCTAAACCCTAGACCCCAAACCCTAAAACGGCATCCCCAAGACTAAACCCTAAACCCCTTCGTAGACTAAGCCAGAGGGGGCTCTCCACCCGGAACCCCGAACCCTCAAATCCCCGAACCCTGAACACTCCCCAAACCTCTACACTCCAGATAGCTATACCTCGAAAGCCCCAAACCAAAAAATGCAATAGCAAAAAGGATAGTAGTAATAACAATAATGGTGGGGCCTTCTTAGCCTCCTCGGCCCTCTTCTTTTCGAGCTTGGCGTCCTCCTCCCTTTGTCGTCGCTCATCCTCTCTGTTGTTAAGGTCGGTTTAGGGTTTGGGGTGCAGGGTTTGGAGTTTGGGTTTGTGATCTGGGTTGCAGGGTTTGAGGTTTAGGGAACAGTGTCTCTTCCTAACCAGTGTGTATATGGTGTTTTTATAGGGATATATATATATATAGATACATATATATGTATATAGTATACGGTGTATAGTAGCAATCATTCAAGGATCGTCGTACTTAGAACCCATTTACAACAAGTCTGCTAATTTGATCAGAATTGCGTTGTAAATACCAGCTATATGTGGGTTAACATTACCTTCCCTAAGCCTCAGACCCTCAACCTCCAAGTAGACCCGAAAACGCCAGACATGTGCATTTCTACGAGTGAGTCCACCTTCAATGCCCATGATGCTGGATTTGCGCTTTGAGAAGCCCCCCAAATTCTACATGGAAGGCCGGGCAAACTTAGTAAGTGTGTAGGTTCATAATCAAAATAGTTAGGTAATTATGTATCAAACGGCTTGTAGCAGTTCCAAGGATGCTTACTAAGACTCACTAAGTTTCCAGGACCTCACAAGTAAGGCTAGTAAGGAACGGTATCCCCCTGATAATCCGTAACCCTAAACCCTAAACCCTGAACCCTGAACCCTAAACCCTCAACCCCTAAACCCTAAACCCTAAACCCGAATAGCCTGATCTGCCCTGTCCTCTACTCTCTTTCGCTCCGCCTGCTCCTGCTGTCTGCCTTGGTACTTGGAGTCTTAGGGTTTAGGGTTTAGGGTTTAGGGTGCAGGGTTTAAGGTTTAAGGTTTAGGGTTAAGGGTTTCGGGTTTAGGGTTTAGGGGAGTCTTGGAGGGTCGCAGACACTAAAGGCTGAGGGCTTTGGGCTTTCAACTATCTAGGGATATATACAGTCATATATTCTTATACAGAATGTGGGGACTTAAACAATTGCTAGAACCATGGAGGAGCCATTGGCAAAGAAAACACAAAATGAAATGGAGGCTGGGATTACTTGGCTTTGTAGGGATTTGCAAAGTTGGGGCCTGAATAACTGGGTGGTTATTACATATATGGGTAGGGTTTAGGGTTTAGGGTTTCTATCTATATTATATATATATATGGGTGGTTGTCAAAATTATGGTCCCTTTTTGGATCCCTATTATAATATGGCACCTAATACTTAGGGTACCTAAAAAGGGATCATAATTTTGACAACCACCCAACTAGAATACTATAGGACCTCCGATTATTGGGTGATGCTTACCCTGAAGCCCCGAGTCGAGTTCAGCAAGAAACTTCACGGTTGCGTCCCTTCGGGGTCCAGAAGCAACCGCTACCTTAGGGTTTGGGGCTTAGGGGTTACAATAACCACCCAGTCACAGAGTCTAATAAACAGCCTGTAATGGAGGGTAATATTATATTAAGGGGTATGTGAAACTATATGAGCTTAGTCTAAACTCATAGGACCTCCCTTAATAAACCCTATTGTAGTCCCCTATATAACCACCGTATAAACCCCTCTAAGGAGTTTAGATTATGGCTCACATGGGTTGTTCTCAAGATGATGGACCCGTTTTGGTTGTAGATTATATTACAGCACCCATATGGGACACTAATTTTGGAACCCCCTTAAGAACCCCTACGGTTCAGGGTTTAGGGTTAAGGGTTTAGGGTTTAGGGTTAGGGTTTAGGGTTTGGGGTTAATACTCCCCTATATAAACCCCTTTATAAACCCCCTGTTAAGAAATTTAGACTATAGCATTTGCAATGCTTCTCCAACTGTTACTGAAGGGGGGCAGTATCCAAGCGTTACCATGCTCCCAACATGCACCAATCCAGCCAAATTGGCGGCCTGTTGAATTAGAAAAGTCTTTTGGGGTATAATACTAAAGGTATACGGACATATCTGGCTGTATGTATGTCACAGAGATTGTAGGTGCCCCAACAACTGGAAGGGAATGAACTACTCAAGTTTCCACAGTAGTCCTAAGGGCCGTGCTTCTAACCTCCTCCCTTCTCTTTTCCTTCTCCTTGTTGCGCATGCACAGTGGCACACAGCATGAAGAAAACAGCACACACTCAGAGCGGTCCTCCTCCATCTGCCTTTCTCTGTCCCTCTGCTTTGCAAAGCGCTCTTCATCCTGACGCTTCCTGTCCTCGTTCTGCTTCGCCTAGACAGGGTCATGGCTTCATCTTTAATCTAGTTTATACATGACTTGCACTGCAAATGGTTGGAACCTCTTCCTCCATCTTCCGTCGCAGGCTAGGCGGAACGTACTTGCCGCCGCCACCGCCTGCGGCGAGCTGAAAACAAAGAATAGCGGGTGGCAAAGCCAGACTGCCTGTGACTGCGACGGAATGCAAACTGCGGATTGTCCTCATGCCCTAGCCTAGGCATCAAAAGAGTGGGAGGATGTTTCTTCGGCAGGCTTACCTCTAAACACAACAGGATTTAATTTAGGGCTTAGGACATATGACCGCTAGCTTTGAAGGTCCTACAATCCTCTCATGAAGGCTGACCCACGCCTCACGCCCTACCCTGCACCCCAACACTCCCACCTATCATCAGCTACCTGCAACCACGGAGAAATCCAAAGGCCTTCCCCAAAATGTACGCTGCTCTGCATTTAATGCTGGACCAAGACCCTCCCGGTACCCTTACTTGGGGCTATAGGGCCCCTAATAGCGGAAGCCTTTCACCTAAGGCCTTAATCTGGGTTGCTGTTAAGGAACTTAAATTAAGTTACTATATTGGGGAAACCCTATTATTTACTATATATATACCCATTATGGTACCTTAATTTAAGTGCCTTGACAGCAACCCAGTAGTTCAGAAGTTCCAAGTACACTGCTCTGCCTAGGGCAGGCTTCCTCTCCTCATCGGCTGGAGCGTCATCCTGGCCCGTGGCAAGCTCTCAGTCCCACAACCGTCAGAGTCTAGGGTGTATATCTAAGGAGTTTCGGCTTTAGGGTTTGGGGGGTTAGGGTGTAGGGGGCTTAGGGCTTGGGGTTTGGGAGGGGACAAACGCACAGAAGCGGAATGAAACTGACTCAGACAACTATTTTGACAGGGAGAATGGCACAAAAAAAAGTAGAATCTGGGAGTCGTAATTACCAACAACTGTAGCTGCAGCGCTCATAACGGCAGCCCAGTAGCTTTATGTGGCATTGGTGGCAGTGTGGCAGTGGCGGCAGTGGTGGCAGTGGTGGCAGTTGTGGCGGCGGCGGCGGTGGTGGTGGTGGTACTAATAATAGTACTAATACTAATACTGATGATAGTAATGACAATGATAATGCTAATAGTAATATCACTAATACTAATACCAATAACGATAAGACTAACAATTCGAAAACAAAAATATCAGTAGTATGACAGTAGTACTAGTTGTGGTGGTAGTAGCAGTAGTAGCAGTAGTAGCAGTCGCAGCCGCCGCAGCAGCAGCAGCAGCGCTAGCTGTAGAGTAGTACTAGAAATAGCCAGGTGTGGACAACTTTGGTATCAGTGGTGAATTCTGGGAGGGCTCACTATATCTGCCATTATCTTCGTAGCCTTCACTGCCTAGAAATTAGAATTCGAAGAGAAATATCAAGGCCGAACCCCAGCGTTTAGAGTTTGGCCTTGAGCCACAAACCCGAAAATCCTGAAACCCTGAACCCCCAAAAATCTCAAGCGGGATGTGCCTCATCTCTCCTTCTGGGCGGTGCCTCTTACAAACATGCAATGCTGTTAGCCACAGGGTCTGAAGTTTGGGGTTTAGGGTCTAGAGCAACACAGAGCTCGCCCACATTACTGCTTCTAGCATGGGGAATCTATCGCATGGATCCGTGAAGACACCAAGCGTGGCATGTACGATGCTCTTGCTACGTACGTTAGGCTCTGATGGAATGCCATGGGAGCCAGACCAGCTAACCTGGCCTTTGGTTAGCTACGAATGACGGAATGGAAAAGAAAATGGAAATTACTGTAATGAGTTATACCGGGACCACTATAAGGATCCATTGCTTCTTTCCTAGCCTACCAGAGGTAAGTAATGCCCCGTGCACTGATCCGTACATGCGGAAGGCCTGCAGTCATTCCTTATCTGTATGTTCTCAACCATTTCACATATCTATATGCGTACCTATACGTAGACATGTACACCTATATTCCTGACTGCCTTCGATATGTTTAGGAAGTGGACATCCAACAAGGAGTCAGGTTAGACAAGCTCTTCGTTCACATGTGGTTTTGGTTGTTGAACAATGTAAGATTATGTTCTTCTTATAAAAATACCATATGCAATGAATGGGATGATACTATCTTACCCTCTACTGGAGATTCTGATGCTCCCAGAAGAGACTGCTCACTGGTCCAAGAAGGGAAAATGAATCTATGTTACAAATGCCTTCGTGGTCATTGCATCTTTGGATATGGGAGCTTTGGAGGGTTGAGTTTACCTTTTGGGGGTCCCTAAAATGACTGTAGTATATGGGTGCTTGTCAAAATTATGGTGCCTTTTTGAGTATCCTAAATATTAGGCGCCGTAGTATAACAGGGATCTAAATAGGGACCATTATTTTGACAACCACCCATATTAATTAGGGTCTATATTGGGTGCCTATGTATGGCAACCCCGCTATCCGAAGCGTCGGAGCAAAGTGTGGATACTGCTATCTCCCTGACCAAAGGCACACGCAGAGTCACCCACCCAACCAACCCGAACCGAATACCTTTACCAACCCCTCATAGGCCCTAAGCCGTTGTGATCCCTCCTTCACTCTGAACCCAAAACCAAAACCCCAAACCCTACAGTCCCCCTCAAATAGATAAAATGTGGGGTGTGGGGGGGTTTAATCCCTAAAGCCGAACCCATGAATCCGAGTTCCCAAAACCCAGAGTAATTTAGAATAGTTTCAACTCCCAATTTAAAGCCATTTTGGTACCATCTCCTACATAAACCACCGTTTAGGGTGAGGCCGGGTGAGGTCCCCAAACCCTAAACCCTAAACCCTAAACTCGGAAAGCCATTGCCTCCCCAACCTGACCACTCCCAGGGTCTGCCCATTTGAGTCGTGTTTTTTTTTGTGGTTAAACCTAAGAGAATATTCCTTGTATAAAATACTATACCCCAAAAGGAGGATGTAATCTTGCTCTATATGGGGTACCATAGTCTCCCCAAATAAA